TTTTTTAGGTTTATTTACTTGTGCATGTATCTGTGCAGCTACTGTATGTTTCATGAATGTATGAGTCCTATGAATATAATCTAAATATAAGCCTGTCTGTCATCTGGCCTCTGTTCTACACTGAAGAGCAGCTCCTGCCCAACCTGTTTCTCTCATTATCTTACAATGTGTCTCCCTTCCAGTGACGTTCTGAGCACAGGGTCCAAAATTAACACCCATTTAGCACCAAATGGGAGTAAAAACATGGCTTTGGAATATATATATATATATATATATTATATATATTGATTGTATATGTTGTGATATATGTTGTGATTGTAAAACAGATAATCTGACTCTCAATAGTATAACACAAACCATCTAGTAAAGAAAATATCCTTTTCTAGGATGCCTGCATTTTTTTTTTCTCCAGGCATGTGAATATTCCCCATTAACCACCAAAACAAATATATGAACAACAAAATAACAATGCATCTTCATTTAAAAAAATGTATAAAATAAAATAACTCCCAAAACTGAAGATCAAATCTGTGACACCAGACCTACCTATTATCTATAGACAATAAATATAATAATAATAATTATTATTATTATTATTATTACTCTTTATATTTATAAACCATACAGTGTCATTAAATGGTGACATTATTATGCTGCTTCAATTACTCCAGTGATCAAGCATATATGTTGCATTCTGATATGCTTGCATGAAAAGGCCTGGGTAAAGTGTGTTCAAAGCCGCCCGGGTTTCACAGAAAGAGGGTCAAAGTTCAAGTTTGCGTGAGAGGTTTAATTAGATCTTGAAAGGAGGCAATGGGGACGGGTGGCTTGAGGATCCGCTCCAGCCACTTTTCGAGATTTTTGATTTTGGCGCAATCAGCGACGAGGTTGCCATGACGATGCCTTTGACCTGTGCCTCTTTAAATACAGTGAAGTCGGATGGGAGATGAAAACACTGTGTCACTCTTGACTGCACCGGCGCTATTGTCTACCGTCATGTGCTGGGTTATCCTGACAGTGCTTAATCACGCAACCCAGGCGAGCATCAACAAACCATTAGGCATCTGTAGAGACATTGGCGATAATAGCCCAGCGCAAGACATATTGCGAAGCACCATTGTCTCTCTATGTGTGAGAAATGACAAATGATATTGTGCACTTGTGACAGCAATTTTTTTCCCAGGCTTTGTCTTTTTCCTGTCTGTTACTTAACAACAGAACAGAGACTCCCACGCAGTCACACAGCACATTCACACACACACAACAGAGTCATGCAACATGGTTTTAGTACACTTAAATGTCTCTCTGAACAATTTGGACCAAATATAAGACAGAAAGCGGGCTAAGATCACAGATTAGATGTTATATGCTTCCCATTTGTCCATTAACTGCTTTGCATTAGTGTGTGAAAATGAAAATGAAAATGAAAGACCATAAATCTGGCTTGTGCGAAATATTTTCACCACACTCACAGATGGAAGACTGCCCCTTTTCTAAACCACTGGAAAATGTGCTTTTTAACATCTTAATATTAAGGGCTGAGACTGCTGAAAAGAACAAAATTAGCATGTGTCCTTCCAGTGTCTGGAGAAAAAAAAACAGAACATTTAACTGTATAAAGCACAGATATGAAATAGTTGTTTGCTGACAGGAAAAGCGCAGGCTCTTTTACGTATGTGCTGAAGGAGGACAAGGGCTTATGTTTTACGAGAGCTGTGACTCATATGTAACCTTTCTGTGGTCACGTTGAAATACTATCATGACAGGCAATGGGTGAACACGCAGAACACAACACAGACATAAAAACATGAAGCTTATCCATATCATGCATAAGGTTTGCCATACAATTTTTTTTGACAATTTTTGACATTACTACCATAATTTAGAGTCATTCTTGCAATGCCCACTTTAAATGTATACTACCAGTCAAAGTATGGAATGGACAATGGAAGGAATTATTCTGTGACCATGTCATATACAACTATGTTATATTTAAAGCAGCACTATGTAACTTTTGGCGCTCTAGCGGTTAATAAACAGAACTGCACACATCCCGCGGAAGAACATTCCAACCGGAGCTACTTCTCTAAATTTATGTCTATGGCGATTCAGGCAGGTATGTGTTACTCCGCAGCGGTCACAACCCGACCAGGCTACAATAGTCCAAATATAAGTACTTATTATAAGTGTACCGTAGTGATTCGGAATAAGACAAAAACGCGGTTTGGAAGATGAATTCATGATGTACTCGCTCATTATATACATTTTGCAAATTTTGAACACAGAAAAAGTTACACAGTGCTGCTTTAAACTTCTACAAAGACACCACTTTTGACCTCAATCCAGCACCTAGTCTGGAATTCTCTCAGCGAACGACACTACCAACAACACTTGTAATGGAAGGTAACATAAATGCATGTAAATTAATGTATATGAATGATTATAAACGCATAAATACCTTAACAGGCTTATGCTTAAATTCTTGAAATGTATTAATTATCCAGCAGGGCTAGATGGATGAGAAATGCTGATTCAGATAAAGTCACTGCATTGGTAGAAAAAAAAGTATAGTAAAATTTTATCCATATTGTGTAGAAGAAAAACATAAAATTAACTAAAATCAGTAATCCAACATCATTCACATAATTATGTGTTGACAGTCTTGACAAAAAATGACAGAATGTACAGTGCTGCAGCTGTTCTGTCAGGCTAACAGATAGATCAAATTAGGCTAGGTGCATGTGTACCTCGCCTAAATAAGGACATATCATATACAAATTACACGTAAGTAAACCCATGTGTATTCTATCTCGCAAGAACAGTACATTAGCACTTCATTCATTTACACAAATCAAACGCTGGAATGCCTTATTGTACTACATTGATATTTCATCGTAACTCCACCATCTTATCTAATAAAATGCCTATTATTCCCAGACATTCCCATCTCTGTTTAAGCATTAGTCCCACAGTACATCAGCACTAGGGTGCATTTAAGCAAAAAAAGTAGCTGATACAGTATGTGCTGCTCAGCTCAGCGGGATCTAGAATATCTGGAGCCTGTGAGAGTGTGTGAGAGTGTCTCAGGGGTGTTAGGGTCATTATAGGCCCTCATACCGTGTTTAAAACCAAATGAGAGGTAATCATTTCAGTAGTGCCTAGCACTGTGGGACACAGCTCTCTTTTTCTCTTTCCACACTCCCTTTAGCCATTCACACTCATGCAAGTGCTGCAGCGGTGATGTACTTTGGGCTGCCTCTGTTGTTTTCTGCACTCTAAATATAATATTTTGTAATTTTACATAATATAATTTCAGAAGGCTTGCTGAATAGATCAAAGTAAAACTCTGTGATCAGTGACTAGCAATTAATTAAAATATTCTCAACATAAAAGTGTGCTGACAATTGATATTCAAACATATTTTTGATGAAAGTGGTCGAGTTAACCATTTTATGAAATTTTTACTTCACTTTTTTTTTTTTTTACAGGAATTTTGAGTTCTAACATCCACACTATGTTCTAACTTTACATTCAATATTTTGGTAATGCACCTAAAAGTTGGTTTGCCAAACGCCAATAAACGCCTTATAAAGTGATTAATTATTAAAAATGTACATTAATGAACATCTCAACAATTTAAAAAAGGCTCATAATGAAAAGAAATTCGAATATTTTTTTTCTGAGTGTGCTTCTTAAAGGGTTAAACAGCAAGAATCACACCACAAATACAAAGGTGTTTTAAGAATATCTCCTATGCATGGATTATTATGGGATGAATAGTAGCCATTGCAGCTGTTACTTCTTTACAGAAAGAGTCTTTTCTCTTCTCCTGCTCCTATAGTCCTTTCACTCAAATGACTGTACTGAAAATCTTGCTTGATGCAACACACCTATAATTTCCCAGTGTTATGACATGTACTATATAAGGCAGCGATAACAAGTAAGCTCATAGTGTATAAAATATTTCTTTTCTGCCCACTTTTCTCCTGGTTTAACAACTGTCGATACCACACAGGTTAGGATGATTCCAAGGACCCGATGAGGAAGAGGGGGCCCGAACGCAATTTCTACTGAGAGGGACCCCATTCTTCTTGCTGGTGAATCAGACATTGCTACTTCTCTCATGAACACATTTTTAAGCGAAGAATGTCCAACATTTCAGTCTGTCCATTTTACAAAACTATCGTCTGACTTCAGAAGACTACTTTTATGATTATTTTATGGTGCCTTTTGAAGCTTGAAAGCTTCAGACCCCTTCACGGTAATGGCAGTGAACCAGAACATTATTAAAAAGTATTATTCAAACTGGCTTGAACGGCATGAGGGGGAGTAAATGATGGAATTTTAATTTCTGGGTGAAGTATTCCTTTAAGTAGTCTGACCAATAAAAGCCTGGCAAAAAAGAAATTTCTACAAAGTGTGCAAAGAGCTTATTAAATTGCATGCTGTGTGTGTGCATATGCCACTTACTCCCATTCCTTGCGCCGGGCCTGTGGGGTGCTCTGGATCTTGTGTGCCTGGTGTGCTTTAATGATGTCCCGTTGTTCAATGAGTCCCCCCCTGCGCCGTTTAATGATATTCGGGCTGACGGGCATGTCGGGGTCCAGACACAACGAGGCCGCCCCCTCGCATGACCCTCCAAGATCCAGGGAGGATGGTGCCAGACCCATGGGACAGGCGTGGGGGACATAGAGCGTGTCGAAACTGGATGCATGGGACAGGAAGCTGTCAGCCAGGCTCTGGGGCTCCAGGAGTGAACAGGAGTGGGAGCCGTCCTCCAGGGTTCTCCGGTGCTTGAGCCAGCTCTCTGGGTCCTGCGGCTGGAGGAGGAAACTTTGCTGTGGCGGGCTCCCTCCACACATGCCCTGATTGAAAGACGGGACTGCCAGGGCATTGCGGTCAGAGAGGGTCTGAGCGCTGACCGAACAAGTGCCCAATTCCAACATCTTGAGGCCAGACTCTCAGCATCGTTCTGTTTGAAGAGGAAATAGGGAGAGGAGACAATTATATCTAATAATTACAAAAATAAATTTTAAGGTAAAACAGTGCTGTAAATTGTAAACCAGGTGGCCGGGACCCATCAGGGGGCCTTAACATTTCCTAAAGCAGGGTTATTATAGTTTACTAAAAGTAAAACCTTAAAAAAGTGTGTTACTTGAATAAAATAGTTGCCAAGGCAACATTTCTCATTTTCTTTTAGTTTAACCTGATGTACCTAAACTAAAATTTAAATTTAAATTAAGAAAAAAGAAAAAAGTAAGTAATACAAAAATTTTAAACCCTAAAAAAAAAAAAACTTTTTAATGAAATATAAAATGTAAAACAAAATAATAAAAACTGTAACAGTATCTCAACGACACTAAAATAACACCATTTCAAAGGGCCACAAGATGGCTAAAAATTATTTTAAATAAGACAAAGCCAGCTTTAAAATAAGTAAAAACAGCTCAAATTCAAGATGTAAACTGACATCAAATTTCTCATTTTAATTTCTTAATTTTTAAATTGTCCTGTTCTAGAAACTGGAAAAATGTCATGGAAATTAATAAAATCTTCATGAAATTTATAAAAGGTCATGAAAATATCTATAAATATATATTTTTTTCACAAGCTGTAAAATGGTATATTTTAAAGAAATTACTACTTGTGAGAAAAAAATATTTTAAAAAAAAAACAAAAAATAAACAACCATGAACGACCGGAAAAGTCATGTAAATTCATTAGTGTGAACCCTGAATAACATTCAGTTCTTGAAACAGCAAGTTGTGAAATTTCAGAATGTAATTATTAAAAAAAAATAATAATAATAATTATTATTTAATTTAATTATATTCATATTTTGCCCCTTCTAGTTTCTGTAAATTAAAAAAAAAATGTCAATGAATAACAGCAGATGTGTGATTTATCAGTCTATAGACCATTTTTGGTTCATGACAGCAGTTAAGAACCAATGATCTACTGTTCAAGCAACAAATTATGTCATCAACACGCAACAAAGATTTTAAAAAAACATTTACTATTGACTATAATGTTAATAACAAACAAAGAGCTTATATAATGCCAGGAGCATCAAGGAAAAGAGTTTTAGCATCCTTAGCTTATTAACTGTCAAATGTGACACTAATTTAATGACATATTCTCTCAAGTATCATTCATGAGGAGCCCTCATTGTTGTAGAAAGAATGCTGTCGTTACAAGGCTTGTTTAATGTGTTGCCTCTAAAACAATTTTGGAACAGTGACAGCCTTAAAAAAAATCATGTAGTAGAGTCACATCAACCTAATGAGGGAATCAGTTATGCCACGAATAAACTAATTAAATCCTAATAAAATCCCAGCTAACTCACAAATCATGCAAAAGAATGGTATTAAAAAATTCATTCAAGAATGTCTATGTACTCTCCATATTAGCTTCTCATATTAATCTGACAAAACATATCTAGACAATTAAAAATGCAACAGTGCTAGAATTTTCAGAGAAGTCCTCCTAGAGTACAAGCCAAGAACCCCAAATATGACAGATTGCTTTGTGAGGGACTTCCTAAAATATTAATTCAGCAATATATTTTATTGTCTAAAGACCCATTTTACTGTGTGAGAAATATATTAAGCATACTATTACAAAATAATATGTAATAAAATAACAACAACATGATTAAATATCTTTAAGAAAGATATTAAAATATTATGTATTAATTTGATTTAAACGTATAGAACTTTTTCGCTTGTAAACAGTGCTTGATCGGTGCATATTTCTCTCCTGATTCAGACAAGATGACGTTTTCGCTGGAGAAAGCAATATTATACAGGAGGATTTAACGGAGGAAGCAATAGTCTGATGTTCAAAATGCCTTGATGGATTTGTTTCTTACAAACACACAGCTTTTCGCTTCACAAGACATTAATTCATGAACTGGAGTCTTATGGTTTATTCATGGATTATTGTGAAGTTTTAATCAGCTATTTGGACTCTCATTCTGACGGCACCCATTCACTGCAGAGGATCCATTGGTGAGCAAATGATGTAATGCTAAATTTATCCAAATCTGTTCCGATGAAGAAATAAACACATCTATATCTTGGATGGCCTGATGGTGAGTAAATTTTAAGCACATTTTCATTTTTGGGTGACCTGCTCTTTTAACGTTGACAGCTAAGAAAAAGACATTTTGTAAAATCTTTAGGGGTTTTTTTTCCAATTAAATTTTTGACCGCTTAGCACACCCCGGACCACAGTTTGAATACCTCTGATCATCTAGGCAGACATATCTAGTCCAGAGAAAGTCTGCTCTCAGCATGATTCACACGGCACACTGGTGGATTCTCTGGTAACTAATCTCATTTGTCACTAACTGGATCACAAAAAAACAGGTCATTACCATATGATACTATGTGAAGACAACCACATGATCAGAGAGTACTAGTTAGCTCACCATAGTGAATCTGACTCCACAGATTTGATCCATATGTGCTTTGATCTCTAGTAGCATCTGTTTGAGGAATCAAACATTGGTGCAAAGCATTATCTATATTTTGATTAAGATGGCCTAGTTTTCCTTGCAGACTCTCTATAGATTCTACTGTTGGAATAGTATAGGCTATTTATAGTCTAAAATAAAAGACATTTTCAGTTTCCTTTTCAGTGCACCTTGTTTGGGGTCCAGATCTAATTATTCGCCTCCTTCAACACATCGACACCATGAAGCCAGAGCTGACAGGGCATAAATTATTAAGACTGGCCAAATAAAACAAAGTGACTGAAAAATACAAACTGATCCTGTGCTCCGAGCTCTGTGATTCATCATGCAAATCTACGCAAAAGCGGTGTGGCATCTTATTAAACCCCAGCTGAAAATGGGGCAGCTGTTGACAGTTGCAGCAGGATGCAGGGGTGTTCGTGTTTAGACTATATTTACCACAGTGGCCCACATCCAACATCATCTCAAACACTAATAAGGGTGAAATATAGTATGATGCTAGCCTTCGGTGAACGGGAAAAAGACCAAATCCTGTTTAAATGTGGATATTATTATCTCAGTGATGTGGCTGTATATGTACATTTTAATTCTCAGAGGTTGCGCCTTCATTCACTTAAAAGACTTTTCAAATACATTTCATTGAAGTATCAACTTTGTCTGATATATATCGTTTGAATTCATATTGAGATCTCTGATTTTGATTGCAGACTTGGGTATCCTAGCAAATCTGAGCACAGTTTGAGACATTGCGATCTACTCTCTCTTTCTTCCTCAAAAGAAAAATCTAAAATGCAGAAGACTTCCAGAGAGGCTCCATTACCTCTCCATTTAATCTCACTGCTGTCCAGAAGAAACAACTGAGCTATTAAAGAGATCTTATTCACAATTTGACAGATCAACAAAATGTTAAAAAAAAAATGTATAAACATATAGGCCTTCAGTAGGCTATCGGTATCCTTCCGTACTGTGAGAAGATATTTTTGTCACACCTCCATTCTGATGCAACTGGTCCAAGTCCATCCACTTTATTTCTGCCCAGTTGTGAGTCTCGCTGTAGCCTAACCCATGGTGAGCTAATGACAGGCCACGCATTGACTCGGAAATACAGGGATTAATTGCAGCTGCATAATAATGAATAAGAGCTTCCAACAGTGAGGGAGAAACATATACCTGCCCGTGCCAAGTTTCAGCAAAGGCCATTAATTATAGACTCTGATAAATGAAAAAGGAAGACGGATGAAAAAAAATGCATTTGCACAAAAACAAAAACCAGGAAAGGTTCTCTGTGGCACTGTCAGTTAATTATGGTCGTAATGGGTCCATTTCCTACATTGATCAGAGAAACCATCCTAAATGATCACGGCAAATGAGCCCGGAGCACGTCTGAACTAAACACATCTGAACAATGCCACGGTGATATTGTTGGTATCAACTGATGACTCAGTACATATAAAAAAATTAATTGTGACATCAGTTGAGGTTTTCAGACATCATTTATAAAAAGTACTATAGCACTACTATTGTATCAGATTGTATCTCTTTTGAAGAGACAGGGGCAAGTCGTCACACTTTTTATTCCAATGACTACTAGACATATAACTTTATATACTGGCTACAAAAATAAAGTTCATTTACACAAGTTGACCTTTTGGGGACAACATGCCCCAATAGTGTGTTGTATTGTCAAATTACTGTATATGGGGTAAATTGCCACAACCTATTGTAGACTATTTACTGCCTTTTTTAATTAAAACATAGTAATGTTTAATTGATAGTTTAATTTAATATAGGTTAATTTATAGTAATGTTTAATTTAGTAATGTTAAATCTCAAGAAATACAAGCACAGCAGCAGAGCATCTCCAGTATTAATCATATATGGCAGTGAATGACGCAGATCCATTATTCCACTCAAATAGCTAACAAGCTGCACCTGGACCAGGAGGAACGCAGCCGGTTAGGGGCTTATTCTTTTTATCAGTACTGTTTATCTTTCCTTCCTACTGTCTGTGTTTACCCAGCATCTTTAAAAGTACTCCATTTAAATGAGTCATAGTCCATTAGGAAATCTAACATGTTTTTTCTTTTTTAACATTTTTGTCATATATAGGCCACATCTCTGAAAAACAGTCAATTATATCAGCAAAAGAGAAATGCAGGGGATCATCAGGTGAATCAATCACAGGAAAGAAGTGAGAGTGAAAAAAGAGACAATAATAAGAAATGTCCTGTTTTTGAATTGGCACAGGTGGGTTGGGAACAAGATATAATCAAAACTGACTCAAGTTCTTTCAAGTCAAACGGACAAAAGCGAACCTTTTAGAGCCTTGAACGCTTAGAACAGTGGACTGGATGTGTTAGTGATGCAGAGAGAACGGAAACATACCCTCACGCTTTTCAGAGGAATTTGAACTCTAATCCCTCAGTGCTGGATAATTCAAGGTGAGGGCGAAAGAGCATGTAACCTTTG